GAGAGAAAGAGTCAAGGGTTGGAGACTTCCTTCAAGAATTGTAAAAAGAGAGGGAAGGTGAGAGATTTCTTCTTCATTACTCTTCTAAGAGAGAATTGAGAGTGCTTGTAAAGAGGGAAAGTGCTTGAAAATAACTTCTAGGGATTTGCTTTGGAATGATTGTGAGAAAAGTTGTGTTCTTTTATTTATTTGTTTTGTAAACTTTTTTTATATATGAAATACATGTTTTGTCATATCCTTCTCATGAATTCTAAGTAGTCTTCTTTATCCATCTCTCTACTTTAAGATATGGTTTTGTGAAGAATTGATTTTATTTTATATGATTTTAAATGTCAATAATTTATGATGATTTGAACTCTGATCTTCATTTACTTTTCGATCTGGTCAATTGAAATGTTAAGATGTGTTGAGAGACATATGTTCCGAAAGGGCTATCATTTCTACAATATGGGGAGAATCACATTTAATTCCATGGGAGAGGATGTCATCCATGGGGTTGAGTGCAAATAAATAAGGAAATATACTTTTTTGGATGAAGAATTGGAGATTCTAAGGTGACAAATTAAAATCCCTAATTTGGTCCACTTGATTAGTAACTAGTGCAAGATTGTTAGTCCTTATGTGAGTAGATATAGAGTCCATTATATATACTTCCTACTACTTTTGTAAACATCAATATATGATCTAACATGGATTTGGAGTGATCTTTTCACTCATTTTGTAATCCAAATTTCATATTAACATGTAAGGAGCTATAGATAGCTCTTTTTTTTTTAAATATATATATACATATATATATATATATATATATTCAAATAATTTTAATTTCTTTATAATATATAGACTCATTGTAAAGAGGAATGATGCTTTCTTAAATTTGAACTCTTCGTCACAAAAACTTTGTTTAGTTTTAGTAATTTTACTTTTAAAAGTTTAGCCATTAGTTTAATTAACTTTGTCTTTTAAAGACATTTTATTTATCATTTACTCATTTACTCTAGATTCAAATTTCATACTTCACTTTTGTAGTTTAAATTGTAGTTTACATTATAATTATAAGAATTTACTTATCAGCATTTCTAACTTCCCTTTAGGAACTATATCTAGGACTCCATTAGAGCCATTTATTACTTGAGTGATACGTATACTTACGTTATTTTAGGGGATTTTGCAGTTTAAAGAATTTAAAAAGATTAAACTATTTTCACTAAAGTTATTTTTGTTGGGATTAAATTACATATTTACTTTTGTATCTTCCGCCTGTATTTTGTAATATTGAAAAATATTTGCTAAAATAACACACTAAATATACCTGCATCAAGTACCAAAGGTTTAATTACACCGTACGATGACCTACATGAAGAGTATGAAGAAGAAATAAGGAACTATTAGAAATGTATGGATCAAAAAATAATTGAGAGATGATTCGTAGCCATACAAGACAAGTTAGAACCTAACACATTAGCCATGAAGTCAATAAAATAACCTAAATGTGTTGGATTACACAATGTTTAGTACGGTATGCAGGTTCCGATATCACAATATTGATTGAATTTTCGAAAATAAAATTTTATAAAATAATAATTCATTATTTAATCTCTATGTAATCCTTTTAATGTCTTAAAAGAGTGATATAATATACATTTCAAAATGCTTTTCGGAATAATGACTAATTTGTAATATAAATTCTCTATTCTTTTGCAAAGCTTAAGCATGTAAATGATTTTTTATTCATAAAATATATACATTTAACAGTAAAGATAAGAAAAATAAACTAAATGAAAATTCATATGCATTAATTTGTGTTTTCAAAAAATAATAGGGCACCCTTAGCTCATTTGTTAAAAGCACACTTTGTGTGATAATTGATAAAAATAAATGGAGGGCATTTTAATTGAAAAAGATTTGATAAAGTTTCTGTTTTTTGGTCTTTTCAAGCAATATTAAAATAATATAATGAATTAAGAAGACACTTCCAAGTAAAAGAAAATGAACAATTAGATGAGAGACTATGGCAGAGAGAAAAGCACTTACACTATATTTTACATTCAAATAAATTTTATATTGATAATGATTTGAAGTGCTTTTGTGAAATCAAATTAACCTTCCCTTTGCCCTAATCATAATGCCTGTTATATTTTTTGTGATTAGAAATTTTTATTCTCCAATAAAAAAACATTAATAGAATTAGCACTATAAGGAACAAATGACAGTTTGCTATAATGAAGCTACTATTGAATATATTGAAGCGCAAATGAGCAAGAATAAATTTGTTTTCTTCTTAAGAATTATTAACTTTAATCATATGGCAAGAATAAAGGCACAATGGATTTCTTAGGGAGGGGAGGGAATTAAGAGATCAACTTTAGACACATATGAGTTTTTAATGAATGATAATATATGATGGCGAAGTCCTCTTGATTTTTTGGATGAGCTAAGAAAATGTACAAAAAAGTAAAGTTATTAATATATATATATATATATATATATAGACACACACACACACACAGAGAGAAAGAGAGAGAGAGAGGGTTTCAAATAAAGATCACAATTATGATCAAACATGTGGACAAGCAAAATTGTTATCGTAACATAAACATAGTATAGTAAATTCATCTAAGTGTTAATGTTAAAAGTTAATTTAAGAAGCCTTATTACAAGTTCTAATAGAATATCATAAGAAATATTGAAACAAATTAGTTTTGGATTGAGTATAGATAACAAATATATTATCCCAAAATTTCTTAGCCTAAAATTTTGATGGAGCAATGATCAATCATCCATAGCCATTTAACAAAAAACATAATCTCAACTGATCAAATAAACTTGGGGACACAATCAAGAATGACACTAGCTAGTTTGCCTTTGTGAGAAGAAGTTGAGAGAGGATAGAGAATGTTGATTGACGGAGAATAAGATAGGCACTGCGAAATTACATCAGTAAGGAAATTTATTTTTATGATCATTGATACATTGATCGTGGAACGAAAAATTTAAGTGGTCCGTCTATATGAACCCAAATTATAAAAAGAAAAGACAAATTTAAAACGATGCCATCAACAAGGGTTACCAACATTAAAAACATTGACATGTATATAGCAACTAACAAGTAAGGCTTGTTAACGCGCGAAGCCAATAACAAATTATATATATATATGCTTTCTT